CGCCTCAAGGTAGCCCGGGTGGCTCCATCTATTGGTGGGGAGCAACACCTGTTGGGAAGCGGGCCCAGCGTCCCATTAATACAATTATTCAGTATAACATCCATAACAAGCCAATTGGACCTTGTAGGGGAAGTTTCTGCGATGACCAACCGCAGGCCGGAGCTGATATGCATACCGATATGCCTAAAAATTGATGTCCATCCCTCCCTCCATTATCGTGTTGACTAGCGCTGCCAACTTCATATATGTGGGAAAGGACACATCTCCTAACCCTCGAGACCTTTGATTCTACAAGCACCTAGACTATGAAACCTCCTTATGGTCCACTCTTTGTCGATGAGACCGTCTACCGGGTTGGTCCTGGGTGAAAGTCCTACTTGAGTTCTTGTGGTCGTCTCCGAGGTTGTAGCCTGTGGCTATTGTCCTCTGCCCAATGGAAATCTGGCTCCTTCTGTTCACCAGCTCCTTGGCTTGTGAAAGCTTGCAGAACTGCCGAACCCTTTTGTAAACTTCATCCCGTCGTTCCTGGTGGAGGCAAGGGAAATGGGGCGAGGGAGGTGGATTGGGGAGGGAGGGCAGGCACAGGTATAGAGACCGAGGGGTGGGGTGCCGGTGATTGAGAGAGGGGTACGAGTGATGGTGGCAGATTTGGCACGAGGATGAAGTTAGTTTGGATGAATGGGATTTGAAAATCATGTAGGGGTTTCCTCCTCCATGCGTGTTCGGTGCACCTCCAGGGCTTCCAAGTGATATTTTGTTCGGCATCTATCTCACTAAACAGCTTGAGCGGGTCCTGCCATGTCTGCAGGTAGGTATCCGTGATTGTCAGTCCGGCCTACGATTCCTTCTCACTTTTGTATAGGTGTTTCATGGATTTCCAGGCTTCATGTGTCTGAGTTCTAAGCACCTTCTCCAATGCTTGTTGGGCCTGTTGCAGTCTGAACTGGTGTTCTTTCCTTTCGAAGGAGCACCTTGCACGCCACGCCAACATTAGCACATGAAGCCTTGTGTATGAGAATAGGTTAACTGCGAACGCAGGCCACTGTTTTGGGATGAGCTCTTTCCTGCCCAGCAATAGCAGACCCAAGTCCCAGGGGATGTGGTAGTTGGTGAGGGAGTGAAAGGCAGCATCCCTCTACCGCCAAATCTGGGTAACCATTGGGCATGTCAAGAGGCAATGTTCAAGTGTCGCTCGGGCTGGGCATGAAGCTCTTCCACAATAGGAACAAATGGGGGATAGCAGCCCTTTCTGTTCCAAGCTAGTCCTGGACACCAGCCAATCCGGCGTGGGGAGACATCGGTGCAGGATCTGCCACTGTAACGATCTAAGGTTGGTGGGCATAATCTTAGAATACATGTGCCAGGGCAGGTTCCGAACTTGAGTTGGGTCAATGGGAGAGTCCCTGGTCCATCTTGCAGTGATGGCAGGTTCCATCGGCTGTTGTGGTGCCGATTGTTTGTATCCCCCTTTGACCGTGTAGTCCCATATGTGCATCGGTTTCCCATTATCCCATTCCCACTCATCAGGATCGAAGGGCAGGGCTGCTATAGGAGTCTAGGGCTCAAAGGCGAAAAACCCTTCTTCCACTTCTCGAGGGCCTCCTCTTCATTGGTGCCCAAACTTTATTCCCTCATGAAGGTTGTGGTGGTAAAAGCAATTTTGTCCACTTCGTCCTTGTGGCCCAGTAATTGGTAGGGTACCTCACTGATCAGCTCCCATGGTTTCCATGACAAGTTGTCTTTCAACTGCGCATGTTGATCATATAAAACCATAACTGGTTCTAAGTCCCTATAGCACCTTTCTCCCTTGTCGTTGTCCCAAGAAACTTCAAGGTTCTCGTTTTGACCCACTGACTTGATGAATAGGGGACGTTGTTCTGCGACTTTGTTCTCAAGAATGTGGGATAGTGCTTCAGTCTTGCACAGTGATGATGTCCAATGATGATCTGACTGCGAACTGTCACTTCTTGATAGAGTTGTAGCAAAAGGGCAAAATAGGGGTGATTGGGGAGAGAGTGTTGGCATCTATGTGCGCTGCCACTGTCAGATCTGAGGGGTTTTGGTCTGCAATTTTATTAAGGGAGCGAGATATACCCCCCAATTCCAAATTTTGTTCCCCAGATAGCTTGTTTGTCTCTCCAGTATGACGATTTGTCTCTTCTTTTCCTTTTTTCGGTTCTTTGTATGTCTGATCAGATCATTCGCCAGTGTGTTCATTCTCCCTTCCTTTGTTTCTTGGTTTTCTTTGCTGCTGGCCTTGAATGGGTCCTCCTCTGTTGCAGATTCCTTTCCCTGCTCTTCACGTATGTAAGAACTGAGCCACCCTGTTGGTTTTGGGTCTGTGGGGGTGGGGTCTGTTGCAGATCCGATGTCCATTGCGTCACTGTTGGTTGTGTTTCCCTCCTTTTTAGATTGGATATGTGTTTGGCATGAGCCAATCTGATTTCCAATTCCAATTCTCTGTGTGTGCTTTCAACGTTTCTATGTATTCGTCGAGCCACTCCAGTGTGTTGCTTGTGTCTTCCTTTGTTGCTGTGTTTTGACTTGTGACTATCGAATTTGCTGGAAGTGTGGCGTCAAGGTGCATTTTGTCCTCCCTTTCATCAGTTGTTACATTCTCTTCTCTGCACTTTTTGGGATTTGGTGATTTGCTTGGGTCCGCGCTCCTGTTCCTCCTCTTTCTTGGGCCCGAATCACCTTTCTTTCCCTGGCTTGTGCTTTTCGGATCCATCTCCCCTATGGATTGCAGAATCTCTAGATAGGATTTTTCAGCTTGTCTTCCTATGTTGTGTATGTCGCAAAAAATCTGTTTTTTGTGAATTTCATGTTCCAAGAGAGTTGCTTGGCCAAGGGTGGCTTTGTCGTGTTTGTGCGTGGTCTTGTCGTTTCTTTTGCCTCCTCCCTTTTGCCATCTGCTCCCATGGGGGGGGAATACATCGGGTTTGCATGGTGGTTCGGGTTCCACTAATGTCCAAATCCACGTTGGGGTGTCCCTGAGGTCGTCGAAAACCCATCCTGCATAGGCTGGGTCGTTGATGATCCAGATGCCTTTCAGGGAGTCTGTTCCGATTAGCATTGAGGGGTACAACCTTCTTACCTCCCCCTTCCTGATGTTCAGGGGGCATAGGGGGACATTGCCCATGTGTCCCTTTATTCTGCATCTGAAACACATGGGGTTCCCAGTCGTGGACATGTACAATGGTGTGACCTGTTGATCTGTTCTGAAGTACCGTTTGTCCGGCAGTTCAGGTGGGCTGTTCCCTTTAAGTTTGACAAATGCAATTTGCGAGTTGATGCTGGGAGTGAGGAAGCCTGGGGCAAAAGAAACCCATTCAATCAGAGGATATTGTGGGTAAGTTTCTTTTAGTCCGTCTTCTACCATCTGATGGAGAGACCCGTCGTTCAGGTTGTCGAACTGGATCCAGAAATGTTTGTACATCAATGTTTGTCAGTGTCTCGAGGTTTCCTGCAAGGCTTGCCTGTTGGGTCTCCATATGGAAATGAAAATCACTGATCCCTCACAGTGAAGGGCCTGGATTGAGAGGAGATAAGGGGCGTAATCTCTGTCAGCGCAGATCACTTTGATTGCGTTTCTTCCCCTCTGTTGGAAGGCAATCTTCGGTTGAGAGGTTCTCAAATTCTCCGTGTTCAAGAGGGTTTCGTGGACTCTTTTCCTCTTCTCTGTGGGTGGCAGGTGTTTGAGCTTTGCTAAGAAGAAGTAGACAACTACGTGCGTTTCATAAAATTCGTCTAGCACTGGCAGATGTTCTTTTGGGTATTCCCAGACTTCGACTTCTGCTTCTTCTTCTTTGCTGATTTTCACTACCTCCTTCGAGACTACTAGTTTGATGTGTGTTTCTTTGATCATGGGGTTGATTACCTCTTGGATTGATCATGTTCTTCCTGTTGGCGTTGGCGTTTGGAACCGGTGCTCGTGCTTATGGTTGTGCTTGGATCTGCATTTGTGCTTGTGCCTGGGGCCGCGCCTGTGGCCGAGCTTGAGGCTGCGGCGGGCGTTGGGGCTGTGGAGTGAGCTGTTGACATTTTGATGGCTTGGAACTGGGGTGGTCAGTCTGTGAGGAGGATGGCGATGTGAGGGGGGGTTGAGTCAGAAATGTTGAGTGAGGGAGAAGAGAGAGTAGAAAGAGGGAGTTGTGACACCTCTCATTGGATGTAGCCCTTACTTGCTTTCCCGCCACAACCGCAATTTTGAATTTGGGAAGGAGCGCACGTGTTTGCATGCTCGGTTGAGTGTTCAAGTGCGTTCAACTGGCACAAAAATTGCTGGGCCTCGGGTGCGCTGGCTCACGGATTTTCGACAGCGATGTTTGTAGATCGTAGCGCAAAAATCAGCGTTGACCCTCGGCGCTAGCACAAAAATCTCAGGGTCTCAACAATCCTAACGGGGGTTGTGTTGAGCTGTTGTTTCGCCGAGACTTTGCACAGCGATGTTTGTAGATCGTAGCGCAAAAATCAGCGTTGACCCTCGGCGCTAGCGCAAAAATCTCAGGGTCTCAACAATCCTAACGGGGGTTGTGTTGGTCTCTTATACACATCTAGATGTGTATAAGAGACAGGGGGTTGTGTTGAGCTGTTGTTTCGCTGACAGACTTTGCAGCTTTGGGCATACATAATCTTCCACCTATCCCTCCTACTAGCCCGATAGATCGTAGCGCAAAAATCAGTGTTGACCCTCGGCGCTAGCGCAAAAATCTCAGGGTCTCAACAATCCTAACGGGGGTTGTGTTGCCCCCTATCCCACGGCGCGCCATTCCCTGCATGAGGAACTCCCACCGAACCCGGTAATAGGCCTTCTCGAGGTCTACGGAGATGAAGGCCATGGCTTGACCTGTGCAGTGTTCCTCCTCCAATATTGCTGGGCCAGCAGCATATTGGACAGAATCTGGCGGCCTGCCACGAACCCAGTCTGGGTATGATCCATAATGCGTGACAGGACCTCCCTCAGACGAGTTTCAAGTACCATGGCCAGTATCTTGTACAGCGCATTGAGGATGGAGATCGGCCGCCAATTGTGCACATCCTCCTTCTCCCCCTTCTTGTAGAGCAACACTATGTACGCATCTGTGAAGCCTTGCGGGAAGGAGCCCTGTCGGAGCGCCTCGTCACAGGCTGCTGTCAGCAATGTCACAAAGAAGTTGCGGAGGTCCTTGTACAGTTCCACCGGCATTCCATCCTGCCCAAGTGCCTTGAGCCTAGGAAGTTCGGCTATCACTCGCGCCACTTCCTCAACCGTGATGTCCTCCTCCAATTTGCACGTGCTGGCAAGGTCCAACCGCCTTTGGACATGCCGCCAAATATCGTACTCCGGGTCTTTTGGCCATGTCGGCAGGGGACCGCTGTCCCTCCTTTGTCAACGGCTGACGGTGAAAGTCTGTGACACACTTTAAAATTCCATGTGTGGTGTGTTGCCTGTCGACTTGTCCGTCGAAGGGGTGGTCCATGGCTGTCATTGTCGGCGTTGCCTTGCGTGCGGCCGCTGCAGCAAAGAACTGGCGAGACATTCGCTCCCCCACCAAAATCCAAGCCTCCTTCGTACGCCTCCCCCCATTTGTCTGTTTCTTCACCCTGCCACTCTCTCCATCCGCGAGCTGCCTCCACTCTGTCATCCCTCCATCCTCGAGCGGCCTGCAGTCTTTCAGCCCACCACTCTCTCCTTCCTTTCCATTCCACCCTTGTATCATTGTTTTCCTTCTCCTTGTCCGCAACACCTAAAACCTATCCCCAATTCCCACCTCAACTTAAATTTGTGGTGACTCAGCGGGGATGGACAAGTCCTATGTTACTGTTCAATGCCCATCTTCCCAAAGATTGAATTCTCCTTCTTCAGTGATTTCTCCTGCTACTTTGCTCGTGTACACTATATCTGCGTTATTCTTCCAGGATTGATAATTTCTTTGTAATTCAGTTTCATCTCTATGATTGATGCTTCGTCGATATTATTGATGACTCTGCGACTTCAAATCCTTGGTGTCCGTCCTGGTTGGTGCGGTGAGAAAAATCTCACATGGATTGGTCAATTGGTTGGTGTTCTGTGTATCCGTTCAAACTGCTCTCTGTCCTACTTCAGAAAGTTTGATTAACTGCAGTTGTCATTTCAGTTTGCACTGGGTTCCGCTCTTGCCTGTTGTGATGTTGTCATTTCAGTTTGCACTGGGTTCCGCTCTTGCCTGTTGTGATTTGTGTCTCTGCTGGCGGCCAAGGGACTGCTCCCATTGACAATTTACCCCCTTCAGTTTCTTGAACTTCTTCTTTTTCTTCTTCTTCAAGGCTAATTCTTTTAAGCCCAACGAATTCAATTGCCTGTAGAATCTGGACACAACAGCCTTTCAGGCCTTTTTTATTATCATTTTGTATTCCGGGTAACTCCGTAGCAGTCATATCCATGTTCAGGACTCCAACAAGAGAACATGCGGGAGCTGCACCCAGCAGCAGGTGCAATACCGGCCAAGGGTCAACCAGTAGTGTCAGGACCGAACGTCATCCGAGTGGCCAGTTGCTGCGACTCCTCTCCGGTCCCATTTTCTAATTTTTCCTCCCTTTTCACTGAAAGGGTTTATTTCAACTTATTTGAACTTATTTCCTGATCTATGGAGTGTTCAGGATTTGAACTCTTCACCTGATGACCAGCAGGTATGAAGCATTCCCTTGCCATATGCAGTATAATGTTTAAGGTCATGAGAATGCAACTGAATATTGAAACCAGGCGTGGGGCCTGACTTGCCTGCATCCTTGTTTGCACACCATAGGTTACAGGGACCAACGTCCAGACACACAAAACCTGGATAATTGGGACCTTGCCCCAGGGCTGGACTAAGGAAAATCCTTCTCCAAGAAGAGGTAAACGTAATTCTCACCCTCAATCCTTCCTCTTTCCAACTAAGGACAGGCCTCTCCTGGATTTTGCATACGACAGTAACTACTGCAATCAGACTCGTTCTCATTCACACTTTTCATGCATGTAAACAGTAGCGCAGCAAACTGGCGACATGCGCCCACTCAAAACTCAGAGATATGGCATCCAGATACGAGTTCACTTTCAATTGGCTATGGCGACTCAGCGCCCAAACAACTCACTGATCTCACACTCCGGATCACCCTGGATGTCCCACACGCAACTCTCTGAACTCTCGCACATACACACACACACTTCACACTAAACTACAGCAATGGCAGCTATGGCTGCCTCTACCCTATCGCTATGCTACGCTCCTTCTCTCTCGCCCACTTCAGCTCCGGGCTCTCTGCAGACCTCCTTGCACAAGTCGCTGTGGCAGTGCTTCCGCATGGCTCACGCAGGAATGAGTGAAAGGCTGGGCGCTGCCTCTTGATTTAGACTTCTGAAACTCGTTGGTCTGCCCTCTTCCATCGGCCCATGGTGCTCACAGTCCCTTGTGGTACTTGCTGGACCAGACTGGGACTGACTGGACCTTACCGCTGACTGAGTGGGGACTCACTGCTAACCTACCGAGATCGTACTGCAATTGCACTGCAGTTTAGTCCACCACTTGACTCACCACTTGCCCACTTGCCCACTTGCTGACCTTCTAGAAGGACTAAAGCTAAGACTTCTGGAACTCGCTAAGACTTCTATCCTACAGATCTACAGATCGAACCCCTCTGCTACCTATGGACCTATGACAGTCTGTCAACTGTTTGCGAACACACAGGTCACAGGTTCAACTCTCGGGGTCTACACAGGTAGGGCAAGGTCTAGGGATCGAACCCTGGGATCTGCGTCTGCTACTGCAAAGAGGTGAAAACCGTTTCACTCCCGCCGTCCTAAATTCGAGGTCCTCCGAGAATATTTCAGTCCAAGGCAGGACCTTTACCTTTCTTATCACGCTCATAGGCTCTGACTATGTCGGGAGCTGTTTCTAGAAGTTCTGTCCTTGTAAACCAGCGGTCGTCTTCCGGCTCCTGGTAAGCAAACTGGACCTTATACTGTTTCTGGGGACGACCTCTACCTCCTGTTCTGAACACATCCTCATCTACAATGCCGTCAATGTCATAACTTTCGTCCATATCCGGGGGGATCATGGATCTTCTTCAAGGGAACTGTTGACTTGTGACACACGGCAACAGCTTTGAGACATGAAATACAGGATAAGTGTGGAGGTGCGCTGGAATCTCTATTGTATAGGACGGCCCATCCTCTCCGCCCTTGACCTCTAGAACTGGCCACGGTCCTCTATAGGCAGGCAGCAACTTCTGCGAGATGTGCTCCTCAGGTGCAAACTCTTTAGACTTGACCCAGACTAAGCTGCCTACTTGAAACTGTGATGGGCGACGGTGTTTATTGGCCTGTTCTATCATTCTGTGTTGGGCCTTCCCGAGGTTCTCAACAACAGTTGCTAGTTCTTTCTCGTGCTGTACTGCGAACTTCCTGGTACTGGGCGGTGGCCTGTGAATCTGATCCCGGTTCGGTCCTTCGAACGGTCTGCGTGGTCTAAAGGACTTGTGCAGCTCATTGGGAGTGCGGCAGGTGGATAGATGCACGTTGTTGTTGTATGCACTAGCTACCTTAGGCAACATCTCATCCCAGTTGATCTGATCGGGTCTAAATGTACATGCGCAGAACTTGCTGTAGGATCTTGTTCATCTGTTATGTCTGACCGTTGGTCTCTGGATGACGGCCATATGACATTAACAACTTTGACCCGTAAACTCTCATGAGTTCTTGCCAGTTCTGGCTGGTGAAACGACTATCTCTATCGCTAACTATGGATAATGGGACTCCGTTTTCACTAACCCAATGATAAAAAAACTTATGAATAACTAATTCTGTGCGTGCCTCTGCAGGCAAAGGAACAAAAATGGCATACTTGCTAAATCGGTCGACTATGACCATGACTTGGCTCTTGCCATGCCTACTCTTGACCTGAGTATCCATGAAGTCTATGGACACGGAATCTCCAGGCTGATCAGGAATAGGCAGCGGTATGAGAAGACCTAGAGGTGCGCTCGCAGTAGTCTTATTCCTCTGGCACACTTTACAACTGCGAACATATTCTACGCAGTCATTCTTCATCCCTGGCCAGGTGTACGCACACATCAGGTTGGCTAACGTCTTTTGCCAACCAAAGTGTCCCTCTGTATCATGGCATTCCTCTAGGATCAGACTGCGGATTTCCTCACTATTGGGAACGCATAGGCGGTCGAATACATCCGTCTTCTCAAACAGCAATCCTTCTGTAGTGCGGTAGTGTGGTTCGGTCTCTGGGGCCTCCTTAACTCTCTTAAGGAGGTCACTATAGATAGGGACGTGCGCATACGCTTGCCTTACTTTCTCCTGCAGGTCTCTCCCTATATCCAGATAGTGTACTCTGGCTCCAAAGTAGTCTGATCTCCTACTCAGAGCATCCACAACTACATTGTACTTGCCCTTCACTGGCTTAAGCTCAAAGTCATATTGGTCTATCTCAGCGGCCCACCTAGTTAACTTAGGTGTCATCTTGGCCTGGGTCTTTAACCACCTAAGTGTTTCATGGTCAGAATACACTTTGAAGTGCCTCCCAAGCAGGTAATGCTTCCAGAGCTCTAGAGCCTGCCTGAGAGCATGGAGTTCTCTCTCGTACGTCGAGGTAGCTACCTTCTCTGAGGGCATCCTCGCTGACATGAACTCTACGGGTTTGTGGCCATTGCCGTCATCTTGCTGCAACACAGCGCCTATACCATATTGACTTGCGTCCGTGGTGACGACAAATGGTAGGGACAGATCTGCCACTTTGAGGACAGGGTACTCTATTAACGAGCGCTTCAGTCTCTTTAGCGCAGACGTACAATCTTTGTCCCATTGCCAGATTGCCTCTTTCTTTAGCAACCTGCGCAAGGAAACGGCGATAGTTGAGAAGTTCCTCACGAACTTCCTATAGTAGTTAGCTAGGCCTAGGAGCGATCGCAACTCTGTCAATGTGCGGGGTCCTCTGGCTTGATGCCATCTCGGTCTAGTACGTGGCCCAAGTACAAGACTTGCGTCTTGGCCCACTCGCACTTTTTCGCGTTGATCTTGAAGTTAGCCTCTCTAAGCTTCTCCAAGACCTGCCTCAAATGACCCTGATGTTCCTAGAGGGTCTTGCTGAAAACTAAGATGTCATCTAAATAAACTACTACAAACTTGTCTAACCAAGGTCTAAACAGATCATTCATACAACGCTAAAATGTAGCTGGCGCGTTGGTTAGTCCAAAGGGCATCACTATAAACTCATAGTGCCCATATCTAGTCCAGAACGCAGTCTTATACTGTTCATCAGGATGGACCTCTATCTGATGGTATCCGGACTTCAAGTCTATCTTAGAAAAATACTTGCAACTCTGCACCCGATCTAAGAGATCGTCTATCCTGGGCAGTGGCTCAACATTCTTTACAGTAATCGCATTCAAACCCCTGTAGTCTATACACATACGAAACTCTCCTTCCTTCTTGGGGACAAACAGAACAGGTGCTCCAAAAGGAGACGAACTGGGCCTGATCCAACCTTTCTCAAGGAGCTCGTCTAACTGCTTGCGCAACTCCTCTAACTCTCTAGGGGACATCCTGTAGACTGCTCCCTTAGGAGTTCTACTGCCAGGCTCTATCTCTATCCTGTGCTGGATGGGTCGCGACACTACTCCTGTCGGCGACTCAGTCAAATCTTTGAACTCCTCCAGCAGCTTGGCAATGGTTGGATCTGTGGAACTTACATCTTCCTTAGCCTCAACGACAGGTCTGACATATACTACAAAGACCTGCTCCTCTAACTTCTCCTTTTTCACTAGTCGCGCGAACGCGGGAGCACTGAGACAGCAATGTGCCAAGGTGTTATCTACGCCTGACAAATGAAACAGGCGGGCAGTCTTAACCTCGCCTGAAGCACTAGGGAGCCTACACTCATGCTCTCTCAGGTGGAGTGTGGCCCCTGCTGCCTCTCCCCAATCCATTCCTAACACTATGTCGAAAGGAAGGTTATCCTGAACGAGGAGAGTCAGGGAATGGAGAACTTTCTCCACTTTCCCATCTTTCTCTAGGCGGAAGTACGCCTGGACTCCCTCTACGTAGTCCTCAACTCGCATCGTGCGGTTGTCTGCGAGGACACTGACTTTAGGGTCTGCTAACTTTTGGACTTTCAATCCTAGCCTCAGCTTCTGGTTGCCCCTGAATCTATAAGGGCCCCTACTCTACTTCTAAACACTTCTACATCTACCAAGATCAGTTATCCCTCACTCTCCTTCTTCATATTGGCCCAAGTTGGCATCCTCTCCTTCAACTTTTCTGCCACACCTGTGAGGGACGTGCCTAGAGAGACGCTAACACAAGCAGTCTCTGGACAGCTCGCTAGGCACGGGCCTGCAACCTCTGCCATAGGCTCATGTGGTTTGGGAGTTTCCTGTGTGTGCGCGCTCGCTTCCCCACATGGCCCTAAAGTAGGGGCAGTTGCAACCCCTACTGGCGGCTGCCTTTGGACTGCTGGGCAGCCCAACGGGCCTGTCTATACTWAGGACAAAATTTAATAACGTGGGCTGGGTCACCACAAAACACACACTGACCCAAGTCCACGCGTTCCTGCCATAAACGTTGGTCCAAGCCCAAATCCTCCCAGGGCCTGCCCTGTGGCAAGCCTGGGTGCCATCCTCCTTGAGGTGCCCTTCCACCTCGTCGCTGTGGGGACCGACAAGAACCCTGGCGATTTGGCGGGGGACCTTGACCACTACCTCCCACTTGGCGGTTCCCTTGTCCGCCAACCCCCTGTGCGCCTACTCCTCGGCCTCCCATGGCCTGGCCCCTTTGGCCCTGGCCTCCTCCTCTACTTTGCGGCCTCCTTCCAACCGCGACAGCAGCATAGGACCTCCCCTGCCCCACGCTATTGTCCTCCTCCTCAAGGCCCCACTCGATCTGACTATATGGGACCTCATTTGTACCACCCTCCTCTAAGGTAAGGATCATGTGATCCTTGGCCCTGACTTGGCCTGAGATGGTACGACCTTTCCTCTTCTTCCCCTTGTTTAAGTTCTTATGCCAAAAAGTGGTAACTGGCATGGACTTGGCCTCAAACAACACCACCTCTCTACTTCGCGCATCGTACGTCATGGTGGGTTGTTGGGACTTGTCAAAGAAGTGCCCACGCAGGGGCTCGGGCATGGCACGATAAAATAACTGGACCAATTGGGTCTCAGTGACCCCATGGTCTGGGACGGCTACCAAGTCGTCCATGATGCCCTTGAGTGCCTTGGCACTCCTCCACTGTCGAGAATGGATGGTTTGGAGCTTGTTAGAGGCTCTAACGCCTCTGCGAAGATCAGCGAATCGCTCCCTAAGGAGCTTGAAGAATTGAGGGAGAGGGGTAATCTTGGAATAAGCGACCATGTTGTTTTCACAATCGGCCGCGTGCGCGTGGGATCTAGCAAAACTGACCGCTTCGTCCTTGAGGGCCCGGAGGGCTACTAGGACCTGATCATCCTGTACGATGTGTTGTAAGTAAACGTAGCTGTTTACACTAGCCTCCCAGTTGTCGAAGTTCTCGTCAGATTTCCCACCATAGGCATCGGGAAACTTGAGTTTGACTGGCTACTTGCGAGGTCTGGCCTCGCCCTCAACAGCGGCTGCTACTTTGGCGCCCTCAATGGCACCCTCACAGAACTTCCCCACGTTTTCTCTCAACCGCCTGACTTCCCCTCTAACGTGGGTAACCATTTCGTGCGCGAATTCTCTAAATCCAGACCGCATGGCACTCAGCGCTACCTCTTGGCTCCTATTGGCCTGGCGCTCCTCCATCCACGCTGCGCTCAGCACCTCCAGGTACCCCAACACCTTATCCCATGTGGCCTTGTCGCCTGCCTGGGCCTCGACTTCCTGCCTACAATCCTTCATCTTCGCCACCTCTGCGGTCAATCTGTTAACTTCATCCCTCCTTCTTTTCTTCTCCCTCTTCATTCTCAACTTCCACTCCAGCTTTTTCTCCTCCTCTCTTTCTTGTCTTTCCAGGGGGTCATCCATTGCTGCTAGCTCCTTGGCTAACACATCCCTTTCGTCCTGGGGCACATAGAACTCCGCCTCCTCATCTTCCCCCAACGATAAATTAGCTATCCACTCGCTACTCTTCTTCTCCAACCTTGCGTCTTCGTCCTTCTTCGTGCCACTACTCCCCTCTCTACTTTCAATATGCATTCTCTCTTTCTCTTCTTCTGCTGTTGCTTCCTCTTCGGCAGCCTTTCTCCTCTCTTCCTCCTCCTGCTGAACTCTCTTCATCTCCTCCTCCAATTTCTTCATCTTCGCCGCCTGCTCCTCTGCAATAGTCTTTAACTTCGCCTGTTTCTGGAGCTCTTTCCTCTCTTTGTTTTCTCTCACTAAGGCGACCAGCTTCTCTTGTTGTTCCTGGGTGTAGGGGCTAGTGCTCGTCCCACTACGAGTCTCAACCATGGTGTAAGTGCACAACCGGATTAGCGGTTCCAAACCTCACCACGTAGACTCTAACCCCTGACTGACAAACCTACTGACTCAATCTAAGACTCACAAAATCCGAACAGGGTTCCTATCAACTACGGTCTCTAGCCTAGACCTACACTATGGCTGTCACTAGTAGACCTGTTGCTGATCAGGAGGCATTTAAGGAGATCCCCTGTAACTCCTCAGGAATTATTTAACGTCGCAAACAGGACGACGCGATCAACAGGTCTCTCAATACTTAGACGGCCTGTTGTGCAGCCCACAGCTCGGATTTTGGGCCTACCGTGCCACACCGAGCAGCCCGTCGGTCAGTACCGGTCCTTGGGAGGGTTCGTGTCCTCCGGGATAGTCGAGTCGTCAGACACAGTCTTTAGCCCTACTCAGCCCGTGTGGGTTTGGTCAACAAGGCCCTATCCTTCATCCACAGAGTACTATCACCTAGGACAGAAGAGACTCAATGCAGAAAGAAGAGACAGACTGACTGGACTCAGGAAGTACCACAGGGTGTGTGCACATCCATAGGGCGAGGGGTAGGCTGAAGGCTTGGCGAGATTTTACCGGCTCCAGCTTGGTCAAAGTCTTGGTCAACGCCTTGGTCAACGTCGGTCAACGTTGCAGTCAACCCCCGGTCAACCCCCGGTCAACTCCGGTCAATTCTCCCGGTCAACCCTTCGGTCAGCTATGGTTGTCGACTTCTCTTTCCCTCACCAACCTTCCTCTTCTCTGCACCTTCCTCGCCTCCTTTCACCCCGGTGTCGAGCGCATCAGTCCGGCACCGCACACGGCGGCGCGGGACCCTCTCGGCCGCGTCACGCCGGAGTTGGACCTTCCTCGTCACGAATACGCAGATGGAGCTTCCTTAGGCCGCTCCGGCTGAGTGCGCCAGCCATACCTCTCACGAGCCCCTACGACAGGATAGGGCCTACGCAAGGCACAACTTACCTCCACCTTACGGGAGTTGTCACCTCCCTTCGGTAGGCGTATCCCCGCCGAGCTACCAGTCCACAATACGAAAGCTACTCGGTTGCAATCGCAGAGGTGGACCAGCCGAGGGCGTTTCTCGTTCGCTGTAGCACAGGGGGTACGCGCGGTAATACGCCTATCGGACCCGCACGCGAACCGACACCTGGTGGGGCTGAAGTCCCAAGCGCGGCTCGACGCCGGTCGACTAGGACGCATCCCACGCACCACGCGCACACCACTCTACGAACACCAAAATAAAACACACACACGCATACGCACGAATGGGCATTTAACCTATCTTGTGTTAAAGGTCCTTTGGGGTGTCTGATTCAAAGATCAGGATTAGATTCAGCTTCATCCCTTGAGGATTGTCTTCTGTTATCACTAATAACAGGTCGGTTGCCGATTCGTCGGTCTTCGACTCAATTTCAACTCATTCCCCATACTCAACCTAAAAGGCTTTGGCCCTGGTGGTTTTTACTGTTTGTTAGGGGTTTCACCCGGACTTCTATTGAATGGCCATTTAACAAAGGTACTTAGTGTTTAATTGAGGTTGGTTGGACTGGCAGATGGGGCTTGCATGGCTAAAGCGAAGGGGTATGAGCATAGAGAATGGTTGGGGTTGACTCCGTGTAGTGCGTGTTTTGTCGCTTGATTCTTGGTGTGGTCACAGGTATGTCTTGTGGCTCGGATTTGGATTTGGGCTGCCTGCGATCTCATATACATATACATGGTTGTGAGTAGTCCCACTGTGCCTGTGAGAAGTGATCGTCATAACTCTATCCCTCTTCCGTATGTGTGCATGGATATACGTATGATGAGTGTTCGGGAGGCCTAAGAGGCCATGTTAACAACCGCGTGAGAGTTGGGATTGAGGGACAGGGAAGACCCTCCCTTCTGCCTATGTGCGTCTTGGGGATTTCTTAGTCGGACGTTGGTCATGGGCCGGGATTCGAGGTCCTTGTCCAAGACATCCTAAACCCTAGGCCCTGAAGAGGAGGAGCCTCCCCTTGCATAGAGCCTATTTACTTTGGCCGACGGGACACCCCACCTGAAAGCCGGGAACGTCGCGAGGGCCGAACGGCGTGCCCTTCAACCGTTCAATATCATGAGGGGTAACCCCTCGCGATGAGTTCCTTCAGCCATTCAATATTGCGAGGCCGAAGCCGCGGTTACCACATATGATTGGCATCAGTGGTTGGCATAAGGTTGGCCTGCGGCCGCGCAATTTTATATCAGAGCCTGCGTGCGACGCCTCGCCGCCCCAGCGTTTAAAAGTTATGGGACTGCCGGGCTTGCGCGTAGGCGCAGCGCTTGGGATTATTGTACGCCGCCGACACCGCCCACATAGGGGAAGCGTGTCCCAAGGCCATGAGTTTTGTTTTCAAGGCCAGGAAACCCTTGCCCTATCCCCTCTTATTGGGTTCATGCGCGTCTTGTTGCTTCTTAGAGATTTTTATGGTTGGACGTTGTAGTCCGTGGCAGCCGTCAAAGTCAAACCCCTTGACTTTCGCCCAGGCCCCGGGGAGGACTCACCCCTAGGGCCGCGAGAGACGACTACCACCACATGCATGGGCCTGTGTACCACCCACTCTGCATAAGGGTGCAGAAGAGGGTGTGTGGTCTTCAACCTCGCATGGCGGTTGTCCAGCGTCGAGAGATTAACCCTCAAGGCGCGTGTCAGCCGACACTTGGGTGTCGAATGCGACCCTCGAGATTAACGAGGACCGCGTGAGTATGGGTACTACCTGGTACGCCATCATTGCGACTGCCTGTGTACGCTTGCATTGCGAGTCGACATGAGTTAGTCCTGCCTCCGCCCGATTTTTATATCAAGTCTCGCGCGTGATGCGCACTTGATTTCTGTATCGAAAAGTTATGGGATGGCTACTGAGGGGATAATAGCATTGTCGCGTTGTTTGTCTCGCATTGTCCGTGCTCCATAACATATTCTCACTCAAATCCTCCTAGCTAGCTAAGCCTAAATCTACCTCGAGGCGGTGCCCAAAGCAAATGCAGACTCTAGCTGGATCTCCCTTATTCAGGGTGGATTGCCAGAATCGCCACCTGTCAAAATATAATCTAACTCTTCTAAATCAGGAAGCGCTTCCCGTAGGAAAAGTGCCTTTCCAAAGTTTGTATCAGCCCAAGTATGAAAACAAAAATAATCTCCAACTCTGGAAAGCTAAATTCTGTCTAACTCCCTGAATCAGTAGAAATTTGGACATCACTCCCTTTAGAAAGGGATGCTTCCCAAATTTATACTAGGTCAGCTATGAACTCACAAGGCAACTTGAGTTCGACTTAGACAAGTTTTGACTAACTCCTTAGTTTTTGCAGAAATTTCGGCAGCCCTCCCTTTAGAAAAGTGCTATTCCAAAATTTATACAAGGCTAAGTTCAGAATCTGAAAATAGCCCTGACTTCTCAAGGTCCAGTTTTGTCTAACTCCTTGAATTAGCAAAAATTTGGGCAGCACTCCCTTTAGAAAAGGAGACTTTCCAAATTTTTACTAGATCAGATATAAAGAAAAGATAAGTTGAACTTTGACAAGTCAAAGTTGACTAACTCCTTGGGTTCGTAGAAATTTCGGCAACGCTTCCCGTAGAGAAAGTAGCTTGCCAAGATTTATACAAAGCCAAGTATAACAAAAGATCCCAGGAAATGCAAGAATTGATCCAAGTAAAATAAAGTCAGCTCAGAAAATGCAGGAGTTGACCTAACTCCTATCGCTCTAGCACGTGGCGAGCCTCTAAAGCAACTATCTGTCAACCTGAATCCCAGACCAAGTAGTAATCTCCCTCAGCCACATGCAGGCCAAACCACAAAGGTAAGTACTCTCACCACTCCCAAGCCAGTTTAAACAAACAATAGTTCATAATCTCTCAGTCAGTTATCCCCTCATACCCAACTTACATAGGGCATAGGCCAGGCACCTGAACTTACAAAGCGCACCCAACTTAGCCAGGCCTAAAGTCAGAATACCTAAACTTATAGAGCGTTCTGACTTGGCCAGGTATACACAAACAGAATGCACAACTACTTCTCTCTTCTTTGGACGTACGGCTAGACCGCTCTAGCCGCCCTGACTGTTTAAATAGCCAATTTGTATATACCTCTCTGAGCTTAGTCTTCAAAGGGGACATAAGGCCGAACCGCTCGACTTAGAACATTGCCCAGCCTGCCCAAGTTTACCTTCAATTATATTTCTTCAATTGTACTCTCTTCTTTTGTGATAAGCTATTGTCAGGCTACCTAAACTTATAGAGCGGCCTGACTAGCCTGTTCATAATAACATAGTAATATAATATAGCCAAAATTATATCCATTGGGTTCCAACATGTGCGAGGCATTGGGTCAGACTACCTAAACTTATAGAGCGGTCAGATCCTCGGCCAGGTTCATTCCTTTCTGACCCAGTCTGTGCGAGGCAGTGGGACAGGTTACCTAAACTTATAGAGCGGCCCGTCCCCTGCCAGGATTATCCCCTCAAAACGAAACAGGAGAAGGGTTGAGCCACCTAAACTTATAGAGCGGCTCAGACCTCCTTGTTCAGAACCAAAGAAACTGAGAGAACCCGAAGTAAAACGAGGCAACCCAAGGTACCTAAACTTATAGAGCGCCTTGGGTTCCTGAAAGTCACTCACAGTCAAACCACCACAAGTCAGAGCAGTTAGGACACCTAAACTTATAGAGCGTCCTAACCCTCCATGCAATTCACAGCACCAGGTCTCCCCAAACTTATGGGGACATCCTAGCCTCCAGAGCTCCAGGCTACCTAAACTTATAGAGCGGCCTGAGGCTCCATACAACCCAAAAATAAACGAAGTGTTGGGCTTCCCCAAACTTAAGGGGACCTCTCATCCTTAATGACCCAGTCAATCTGCACACAATACTGCCTTCCTCCCAACCTCCCCCCAGATGCAACCCACTTCGTTCAGAATCTGCTTTCAGGCAATCAACAAAACTGAAACTGAGATTGCACACACACTCCTTTACTTTAGTCTGACTTAAGTCCTGACAGTCAAATCAAAATCAAGGTACAGGATCCAGACAACACACTCAGTCAAGCGTAGAGAGATGTACAGGTAGGGGTTATAGTTGGGTTTATAAACGGAGTCAAGGGTTTACCACTTAGTTCTCTGCCTCCAGGACTCCCCCTGAGTCCTGACAGAGCTCCCGCAATCGGTGGGGTGTGCCCCCACAAGGCCTTGGTGCGGATTACGGCGTGCAACCCCGCTTGCCGCCTTCCTCTCAGAACCAAAAGAACAGACTTAGGAAGGCAGAAAAAGAGGGGCAGAGACTATCAGATCCCGAGGGAGAAACACTCAGACTCGCTTGAGAGGGTCTTCCCACCTTCAGCGCCTTAGGGCCCCACAATGGCGACCAGATCGCACAACAGTCCGGTCAACTAAAGCCAAGCCACCAGCCAACTGATATCCCTTCGCCCCTCAGTGTTATCCTTATCACGGGAACTGGTCAGTCCCTCCTGATCACGGTGCCTCCACCTCTTTGGCTGAGTCTTTGTCGTGCAACGAGCGGGAAGTCTAAATGCACCAGGAGGCGCAATCTGACTAACTATGCACAACAAATGCAGCGGACAGATCAGTCGCAGTAGTAGACTTCAGCAGCAGACGCTACCGTAGTCGCCTCGTAGCCGAAACAGCGAGCGGTGGCTGGCGCAGTCATACCAATATCAGTCCCGCAAGCCAGCGGCTTGCCAACAACGGCTCTGCAACCGCGATTCAGCAGGTCCAATAATTCGGTGACTTCGACTCTCAGCCAGCCGGCTGCTTGGACTGCAAGTGGGTCTCCTTCCAAGACCAATCCCAATAGTACGGAGTGGATATACCCTGCAACCCAACTTCGCCCGCCACGTCTGCCCGCTTGGCAGGGCGTAAAAGCACGCCCGCCCGCTTTTCCCTCCTGCAGCTGATGAGACAAGCATGTCCCAGCCAGGTACGTATTCAGCCCGCGAGCCGCTCCAGCCACTGTCGGACTCCGGTTAGGCGAGCCTTCCCTTCCGGCTCCGCTCTCGGTGATCAGGCCGCTACCACGCAGCTAACAGACATCCATGCGCCGGCGATATGCAGGACTTCAATAGCAACAGACCCGGGGAGCCGTGCCGATGCCAACCTCCTAACCGCCGCCAAAACCAGGGTACGTGCCCTCATGTCGTCATTCTCGTCCCCTTACCCGTACCCTCGAATGGCCCGGGGGAACCTCGCTAGTATTCCCCGA